GAGGCGCTTGTATTGGTAAAGACCACAATGTGTAGTGAACGTTGTGATGCTTCTGGAATCGGGATGGAGTTCTAACTGGTGGTAGCCCCATTTTAAATCCAGTTTACTGAACATTGTGCTCTGTTTGAGGCTTTGGAGCACTTCGTCCACTGTGGGTTTGGGATAATGTTCTCTGATAATGGCTTCGTTAGCTCTGCGCATGTCTACACAAAGGCATATTTCGTCATTCTGCTTAGGGACTACTACAACTGGACTAACCCACTGGGTTGGGCCCTCTACTAGTTCAATTATGTCCATGGCTATTAATTCTTCAATCTTCTCCTTAACCTTGTCTTGAAGACTAAATGGGGTGCGCCTGACTGGTTGTGCCACTGGGGGTACATCTGGATTCACATACAACTTAACTTGGAAATCTTTCAACTTTCCCATACCCTCAAAGATCTTCTTGTAATCAGACATGACTGTCTCACTACATGTCACAGTGCAGATCTGGGTTCCTAATTTCAACACTCCAAGCTTTATGGCAGTTTCTCTTCCAAGCAGTGCCGCCCCTTCGCCATTAATAACAACAAATTCAGCTTCGGCCTCTTTTCCCTCTACTCTCGCTTGTGCTGAGAATGTTCCTAGAACGTTCAGCGGCTGTTTACTGCCATATGCATAGAGCTTCTTATCGCTCTTTCTCGACACACACTTAATCTTGTCTTGCTTTAACTTTAACCACAGATTTTTGTCAATCACATTGGTGCTTGCAACCGAATCAATCAACATCGCAACTACAACTCCACCCACAGTCCCATCTATTTTCTCGGGTGATGTAGCAGAATTCACAGTAAATGCATATTCATCTTCATTTCTCTCACTTCTCACATACCTGACTGACTTCTTTGTTTTCCTTCCTTTTGTCTTCTCTTCCCGCCTAGGTTTGGGAGGTTTGGCTGTTTTCGTTTGGACTAAAATGGTCAGCTCCTCCGCACTTATAGCAAGTTTTTCCTTTGGCGGGACACTCAGGGTCTCCTCCAAATTTCCTACTTTTCCACATCTGTAGCATGCTCGCTTAGCAGACTCCTTTCCTTTGTCTTCTTGCTTGTCACGGACAAAATTCACGTCCTTTTTGCCTTCCGTATTTTCCAGCTGTGACCGAACTAGCTCGTGATTTGCTGCCGTCGAAAGTAACAACTCTAAGGTTAAGTGCTCACCCTTTTCCAGTAGTTTCTTCCGTAGTTCATGTGATTTACATCGCTGCAAGACTTGATCACGAATCTGGTTATCAGCTTGGTCGCCGTAGTCACAGTCTTTGACCACGTGTCTCAATCGTGTAACAAACTGAGCCACGGTTTCGCCGTCCTCTTGTTCCATGCTGCGAAACAGGTGATTTTGGTATGTCGAATTTACCTTTGGAATGAAATAGTCGTTCAAAGCCTTCACCGCTTTTTCGTAATCTTTCGCCTCGCCTGTGTCAGGTAACGTTTCGAAAATTTCCTGAACAGCTTCGCCGGCCGAATGAAGGAGTAAAGCTCTCCTCTGAATTTTATTATCCGCTTTATCCACTTGGATGAGCAAGCCTTTGCTATCGGCATAAACTGAGAAGCTTTTCAACCAACGCTGCCATCGCCTTCCCACGCTTGAAGGTTCACCATGTGGATCGAATGGTTTCACACTCGTTAAATCGTCTATCTTTATTGACGCCATGTCTGGGCAGCTGCAACTTCTATCCTCGTCGCCAGATGTCACGTTCTAAAGTCGATGGAAATGGATACACACGAATCTAATCTATACATCTGCCATGCTGCTTTAATGATTCAATCCTCTCTTACATTACCTGCTTACCTACGTCATGTATGGCACACGAAGTGTACCTTACAAACACTACA